GCGCCAGGCGGAGCTCACCTGATCTACCTGCGCTGTGAAAGCGCAGGCGGCTCGCGGCATGTAAATTTGTCCCCTCAGAGCAGGTTTCACCCTATCACTGTGCGCCCCCCCATTGGGATGTCTGCCCCCACCACATACACACACACATGAAAAAAACAGCTCAGACTGAACAACAACGTTTTTAGTGAGTGAAAGCAGCGAAGATTCTAGAGCAAAGTTTTTATTGGCGTGGAGTTGGTTCAGAACCGCTTCACGGCTGTGGCACTGGGTCGGGCCCTGCTGAAGAGGCGAGGGAGCACACTGCTGGCACGAGGAGTCTTCGACCCTACAGGAGCAAATCCTCCTCCGATAGCTTTTGCTTCAGCCCGCTGGCTCGCGGGCCCGCCAGGAACACAGGCAGCTTCTCCTCAGAGAAGCCGTTGCTGTCACCGAGTCCTGACCCAGAGGCTGGGCCTGCTTCCATCCCAGCACTGGGCCCAGAGCCAGACTCCTCATCTGAGAGAGGGAATACGTCGCCTAACTCCTGGTATTGCTTCATCCTGAAACGCAGAGTGGCATTTTTATCTCCCGAGTGAACACACCAAAGCCTCGCAGTCCCAAGGGTGAGCCCATGCTGTGACAGGACTGTCAAGACAGGAATACCAGGCATTTTTGGGTGCTAGCATTAATGACAAATGTGCCAATGAACTTACAGGGATGGGTCTGCCACGGCAGGAAGGATCTTGTTGGCTCCACCAGTGGGCATGTAAAACCAGAGCCCCTTCTCTTCAATGCAGTTAGCAGACCAGGCATCGGGTTGGCACCTCATTCTCTTGTACCTTGTCCTCTGCATCGGAGCACCTGATGGAATAGGCCATGTGTTATTCACCAGGACCTATTAACTTCATGAGCACCTAGTAAAGCTTAATGGAGTGGAAGAAAGTAATTTGTGTGGCCCTGATTGCTCAACCAGCGAAAACTAAAGTAACCCCGAAGACATTTTAAAATGGCTACCGATATCCTAATTGACATCTCTGCCATCAGAGATATCAGGCACAGCTCACACATAGCGCCAGGAAGTCCATGGGAAATCCCACAGGAAACCACTGCCTCAGGCTGACATCGCAGCAGGGCTCGGCCCTAGCTCAGGACAGGGCAGGCTTGGCTACCTGCAGCTCTCCTTGAAGCTGGTGGAGGTATGTGAAAATCTCAGGGGACAAGGCACCTCAGCAAAGAGCTGGCTCCTGTGCTCTCCCTTCCTCTGTGGGCTCCAGCGAGGCTCCGTGCTGGCTTTGCATGCCTCAGGTCTGCCCCTGTGAGTCCAGTGGGATGAGGTCTGGTAGAGAGGTTGGAAACTCAAGGAGTGCCACGGGCAGATTTGAAGTTGGAGCACATCGCCAGAGGGGAGGCAGTTCAGGTGCCTTCTAGACGCTGCAGGGTTTTGTAAACCCACATTTCCAGTTCTGGTGCCCCCCAGGTGCCTGGTCAGGGCTGTCACTGAAATATGGGTCTTCAAAAAATACTAAAAGGAGAAAGTAAGGACTGTGTAGCAAAGATAAAAGCAGTGGCACTTCGTCCTGCCTTGCTCTCATGTAATTAATTTGTCCTGAAGCCTCCCTATGCATTCAGCTGTTGGCACTTTATTATTTTCTTGGTTTCTTGGGACTATCTTTCTATAATTACATTTCTCTATTGCCCTATATATTCTCTCAATGTACTGGATGACTTTCAGCTACCTCCTATGCTCTTCTCTAAGTGAAGAAAGATCTCATGGGTGTGATTTCCTGCTGCTCTTACAGCGTATTCCTTTGTCATACTTATTTTCTTCTCTTAGCATATTATTAAGAAGGTTCTTAATAATAGTGGCAACAAAACAAATAGCTGCAGCTGAAAAATTCGCAACTAACAGAAAGAACAGGCCGATACTCCTCAAAGATCAGCCTCTGAGTGGTAATACATGAGAGCCTATCCCTGTCACAGCCTTGTCTTGTGGACAGATTACACCCTACATGCTTGACAAGTGCTTCTGTCTCAAGAAATAAATCCATGGGGCACAAGTCAGCATGAATCAACATTTCCTTTTCACTGTTTTAGTGCTGTGTGTTGCAATATTGCACCGCATAAACTGTTTAGTTTCCTCATACTTACAGCTAGTCTCCTTCCTGCTCCCCTAAGAAAGTAGACCACAGTAGTTATGAGGATGAGAACTGTTACGTACTTTGTCCGTAACTACACAACTGACTAACAGCAGTAACCAGACCATTATGGAAGGAACATTTACAAAAACATATATTGAAATACATAGACTGAAAATACACACACATACAGTAACATACTTTATGAAGTGTTTTCTCATCAGGGCTGGGACACTGAAATGCTCCTTTGGCAAAAAGAACCTTTTCTTACCATTCCCCCTCCAGAAAATGAAATGTTAGCGAAACAGATTTTCTGTGTAGACCTTATTACCACTAGAAGAAGGCCAGTCTGAAAAATTCGGAGGCTGCTGCTTGGCCCACAGTGCATAGCCCAGAAAGAGGATTACCGAGAGAACAACCACCCCATTTTACCTTGTGCTGTGTATCCCACAAAGAGGATTAAACAAACAGCCAGGAAAATCCTCCCATTACATCTGATAACGAGCTGCATTTTGGCTGGCATCCCTCTGCTCGCAACCAGCCTTCACCACGGCTTCACCCTTCAGAACTACACTGGGGAGAGGAGATCAACTTTTGAGAAAAGGTTTCCAAAACCTCAAACCCAACCCATGACCTGCGTCACCGCTTCCTGATTGACAGAGCCGAGATGCGTACAGGAAAGCACAGCACTCTGGCCTCCCAGCCTTCAGCACTCCCAACAAAAAATCCCCTTTGCCTTCACCTCCACTTGTGCCCGAACAGAAGAGCGAACGCGGGACCCGTCGGCCGGGCAGAGGGCAGTGCCAGCAGCGTGTGCCCGCCCGGGCCCTGGACAGTGCTCAGGGGGCTCCAGGGCATTGCTGTCTCCTCTGGAGAGAAATGCAGTGCTTCGTGTTCCCTGATTTTCAGCCAACTGCATTTTGCATTGGTGCTGGCAGTGCTTTTCCCTCCCTCAAGCCCACGTCGGTCCACCGGGAAAGTTAGGAGTCAGCTACTTGCAGTTGGTGTACGTTTCACTGACTGGAAAATCAACTTTTCCACAGAAGTAAATTATCTCTGGAATTTCATGCCGGGTTTGGGGTTTTTTTTGAAACTAGGATCTTACATTTTCAAAGTAGAAGTGATAAAAATATATTAACCTAAAGAATACATTGTGGTAGAAATGTGTCAGCTCCTTTCTGGAGGGATGTAGTTGATTTGCTCGGCCGATCATCACTGTGTGGCACGAGCTTCCCAGGGAGTGTGGCAAAGGGTTTGACCACACAAGCTCCACAAAGAACCTGTCTGGAAAGCCATGAAAGAAAGCTCTTACATATCCAGATAAATGGAAGATGCCTTTCACCTGGCTCGTGCCTTTTGCTTGTGATTGTACCAGGTTCGAGTTCGCTAAAGAATAAATTGCAAACAATGAGGTTATCTAAACTGTGGAGATTTTTCTTAGTCCTCCTGTTAGCTGCTGGATTAACTGGGGCAGCAGTGTGGGCCTAATGTGCTGCAGCTCCTTTGGCAGTGCTGAGGCTGACAGTGTACGTTGTCTGTGGTTAATCTATTTTTACGTGGTGGAAAGTCCGCAGAGGCACCCGGTGGTGACCTAGTCTGAACAGTGACTTACTCCAGGGCATGGTGCTCCACCAAAACCCTGTGAAGTAGCAGAAGAGACCCCTCCAGCAGCTTCCCTCTCTGAGCTGGGGTTTACTGCCACACTAAGGGATCGAGTTGCACGTTCAGCATCGATGCAATTTTTTATGAACCTCCTCACATGGGGCTTTTTTTCTGGCATGGGAAAAATAGGAAACTCAAACCAAGCAGGTGTGGAAGGATTCACATGCAGTGGTTATTTTCACCAGCCTCATTTCTACTTTGTATTTTTAGCATCAACTCTCTTTGCTTTCTTTTGTTTAAGGCAGTGCTCAGCATCAACAGGAGGCTGGGCAAAACTGTGTGGGGAGCTGATCAGCCTCCACCTGCTGAAGTCTGCGGAAACCATCCCTGCAATAACACCTCTCGTTTTCCACTGGTCATGGACACATGCTGACCTGTTCCACACCCCTCCAGCGTGCACAACCAACCACCCACGTGGGAGAGCACCCTTCTACTGCCTATTTTTGCCCTTTCCACCAGTCTGGGGCTTTTTCCATCATGACACGAAAGCCCCACAGGATGCAGGTAGAGCAATGCCCAGCAGTGGCCATGGTGGGAGCTGGGAGAGCCCCTGGGAGTAGAGGGGAGCTGCAAACCCCTTGTATCTCGAGGAGTATCTCACTGAGCTATCTGTCTTGTACCATCAGCTGATGGGGGAACTTGTAGCACTGGCAGTTTTGCCACACAGTTTTGTTATTTTCTTCTGTGTCAGCAGCATGCCTTAGGAAATGAGATCACTTTACAGTTGGTAAGTATGGGAAGACCAAAGCAAATTTTCACCTCCACCTCATTCACACCTACGTAATGGGAGCCTGAAGGCTGTGGGGAGCATCAGCCTGTACCCATCTCCTGTCCTGCTGCACTCTACCAGGGCCCACACCCCACTGTGCTTGGCCAGCAAAGAGCAGAGAACACCTTCTTACAAGTGACTGGAGAGCTGGGTCTGAGACAGCCTGGGATGTGCAGGTCTTGAGAGCAAAGCATGCCCTTCGTGGAGCGTCATGGAGCATCATCCGTAAGCCACTTGGGGCACAAAATGGAAGTAATCAGCTCAAATGAAAAAAAAATCATCTTGGGCTAGAAGCCACAAACTGCTGAAAGTTAACACACTTTTCCTGTTTTGAAACAGAGAGCAGCACATGAGCTATACTGTATTGGAGCACTAACCTTGAAACGTGCCATGGCATGACTATCAGAGTTTAAGAGAGACAAGATTTTAAGCTAAATATTTTAAACCCACAGAAGAGAGGACAGTCAGCATACCTACGTCAGCTACCTGAAACCCACCTTCTGTAAACTGTGAGGAAAATTCATAGGATAATACTCCTGCAGAGATCCTGTGTATGTAGACTGGAAGATTAAATACCCCAACAGAATAGGCCATTAAAAAGAAGAAAATAAATGAGGAGCAGGTATTTGGGAGCACAGCTTGCTCCTGGAGCATTGCTCACGGCTACCACACTGAAGTGCTGCCGTTATTTTCAAATCACATGCAAAGCATATTTCTTAATCTGCAAAGCTCTTGCTTTGCATTTTTCTAAGGCATTAATTTGGGGACCGGGGAGCAGGCAGAGGGAGGGGGCTGCCTCAGCACTGTGCACCTGGATGCTTGCCCAGACATCCAGGACTTTTCATGACATGCCTGAAAAATCTGGGAGCAGCCTTGAGCTATAAAACACCACTTCAAAACCTAAAGTAATGAACTGCTTCTTAGTCGTAACTCTTAAGGCTGTTTTATCTCCCAGCTGGCTTCAGGAGTAGTACTAATTCAGTAGCATCACTAAATGTGGACCAGACTTCAGGAGTGCCTGTTATGAGGACATCCATTCTGCTCATGAGGGCAGGGCATGAAGGGCAAAAAAAAGAAACAAACCCCAGCACTAAGCCAGAGAGGCATCGTGGGGGGTGTTTCTGCCAGTTCTTTGGTGGACACAAACCCCTGCTCTCCTCTAACCCAGGTAAATGCTGATGGAGCAGCTCAGCCTGGAGGAGTGGTCAGATGTAGTTGTGTCAGGCTGCTTACCCTCACCAGGCAGCACAGGTTTACTTTGCAGCCTGTGTTTTCAACAAGCAGCCAGCCTGGCAGATGGACTCCCACGGGTGCACGGGCAGCCAGGGTCCCAGAGATAATCAGTGAGGTTCACAGGCAAGGCACTATCTGTCCGGGCAGGGGGTCCTGATAAGGAAGTTTCTCATTCACAACTGCTGAGAAATCAGATAAACCCTAACTGCTGTGGGGTCATTCTGCTTTCAGGGGTCAGGTTTTCCCCTGCCCTAGACGAGGGAAGCTCAATCCTGGCATCCGTGGGAATCCAAGCTGACCCCTGCACCCTCAAACACTCCTCACCAGTGGAGCAGCAAAGCCAGCAGCTGGCTGGAGCAGCCAGGGGGCCTGAAGCCCTGGGTCTTGCCTGTGATGCTCAGCCCTTTATCTGCTCCTCTGCGCAAGTGGAAATACGTATTTTGTACAGATCACTGCTCTGGGTAGCAGCCGGTACAGAAAAGGTGAAGGGAGTAAAGACAGGGAAAAAATAGAGATCTGACTGAGCACAGGGAAGAGCCTCTAAATGGCAGCTGGGTTCAACACAGCGAGCATTTGTTTTGCCCGTCTTGTCTTTCGGGAAGACAGAACAGGTTTCCTCCCCGACACTCACTGCTGAGGTGGGATGAGATTTGTGAGACCTGGACATCCAGTGTACCCTGAGCACACTGGACATCTCAGGGAGCACCCGTGAGCTGCCCTGTGAAACGCCCCCGTGTCACCCTGAGGCCCCTCAGAAGCAAGCTCCCCTCCAGGCAGGCAGCCCAGCTAGATTTAAGGATGCTTTCTGCCACCTGCTCATGCTCAACCAACCAACCTTTGATGACTGAAAGCAAAAATGTATCATGCCTCAATATAGCAAAGAGCTGACAACCGAGGGAGGAAGGTTTGGGTCAAGCTGGGGGGGATTTCTAAATCCAGCTCCGAGTAAACTGTAATTCTTAACCTGGGTCACATCTGAGCTCAGCACCACTGCTCCCACAGCATCATGGCCCATGAGCAAATGTCACCCCTGGGCCTCTCGTACCACCACCTCTGGCCCCCAAGGGCAGTATCAGGTCCTGGCCCATGAAGATAAGATTCAGATCTTGTAAGAAAGTATTAACGTTCATTGCGCAGAAGTCAGATATTTGCTGCCATCTAGATCACACAGAAGAGCAACTCCTCGTTTCTTTCCATGATGCTCACTGGGTGTACAGGGAGAGCTGGAATGCCACAGCTGCACACTGACAGGAAGCTGCAACTGCCTTTCCTCATCAGCCATCTCCCCCCCTGCCAGAAACATTAACCAAGCAACTGGCCTGGCCTTCGGGTGGAAAAAGCAGCTTTCCTCGGGGCTGGGAGCTGCGATGCTTTCTGCTTCCACACGCTGCAGCCCAGTGCAGCAAGGGGTCTTGGCTGGCAAGTTCAGGGCTACAGTTTAAAAGCAACAGCTTGTTAAGACACAACACAGCAGCCAAGCTCTGGTTACAGATTAGGGAGGCAATTTCAGCAGTTGTCCATCCTCGTTTAAAACTTCATTCCAGAGCAGCACCAGCCCCACAGTGCACGTACCCAGCCCATGGAGGGAGCAGGACCTGCACAGGGAGGCGAGGGGTCAGGGAGTCCCCTTCATGCCACAGCTCGTAGGGAAAATGCCCCTAAACCCACAAGGAATTAAAAAGGGAGAGAAGGATGATGGGACAAAGTTAAAAAGTGTTTGGGACTTATTTGCCCAGTTCCAGGTGTGGACAGGCAAGATGGATAGCAGTGTCTGACACTTGTCAGCCCTAGGTGTCTATGCACAGGCCGTTGGTAAAGAGTTGATTTCAGAATGAACTTTGCTGGCAGATTATGTTGTT